GGATCTTGAAGAAGGAGTGGATGGGCTGAGCGAGGTTCCATCATCTTCTGTGGTGTTCCAACAGAGGGTGTGGCCCAGATTAAAGGTGTGCCTTCCTGCTTTGAGGTCTGGATTAAAGGTGTGTGTGTGTGTGTCACCCAGACTCAAGGTCCAAATTAAAGTCTTCCTGCCTCAGTATCCGGATCACGCCAGATGGTGGTGGCAGCGGTGCAAAAGCCTTTAATCCCAGCAGTTGGGAGGTAGAGGATAGCGAATCTTTGTGAGTTCAAGGTCAGCCTGGTCTACAAGAGCTAGTTACTGGACAACTAGGGCTGTTACACAGAGAAACTCTGTCTCAGAAAAAAAAAAAAGATCTGGATCACAAGCATGCCTTCCATGTCTAGATTATAGTTCATTCCAGATATAGTTTACAACCAGGAATAGCCCTCACAGAACTGTTACGCTTTTGTTTGTTTGTTTGCTTTTTGAGACAGTTTCTCTAATGGCCTAGGGTATCCTGGAACTTGCTTTGTAGACCTCAAATTCTGAGATCCTCCTACCTCTGCCTCCAGAGTGCTGGGATCCTGGAAGCTGGCTCTGCCCTATGCTGGACTGTTTACCCTTTTGGTGAGGACTGAGGAAAACTGGCAGGTTGACCAACCCTGCAGCCTCTCAGGCCCAGAATCAGAGCTATGTGTGACTTGGCACGCCCCACCATCCACCCCATCTATGATCTGCCGGAGAACGTGAAGAATGTGGTCCTGCAGACCCAAAGCTGCGGGACCTCCAGAACACAGGGCGACAACCCAAGAGAAGTCAGTCACAGAGAGGGCCCAGTATTGATAGTGAAACAGAAACCAGAGACCTCCAACCAGACCAGTGACTCTGCAATGAACACTTGCAAGTAAAGATTATGTACCAAGGGATTTACTTTGTAACTCACTGGTTCACCCTGCAACTTTCACGATGAGCCTCCTAGTTTTTGCCTTTTTCTCTCTTAAATTTTGTTTTATTGAGGGGCGGTTGCATGGCGGGGGTGGAGGGCAGATATCAAGGGACAGGGAAATGAATGGGATCAAGATGTGAAAGACACATAGAATAAATAAAAAGTAATTTAATAAAAAGATGGGGTCCAGTCTATCATGGTAGTCTCTGGTTCAAGGGTGCGACGCCGAGGAGACTCTCCACCTACAGGGCAGATCAAGGTGGCATCTCTCCAGTATTCATAAAAATGTGAATAGCGCTTCATTGTTCTTGATCTCTGCTGATATACTGTCCAGTGAGTGTCCTGGAGTTTGTGGTAGCTCATGTGTGACTCAGTTTCCATCTGGAGTCCATTTTGATTTATAAGTCATTTGAGTTCAAGCTTGCCTGCTCTTCTTTTTCCAGTAACCTTGAGGGCTGTGAGAGACTTCTGATTTAGCGGAAGGGAAAGAGCATTGTGCCCATGAGAAAAGAACACTCTATCTAGTAGAAAGAATACTTCTGATGCCAAACCTCAGAAACATCAAGATAGGAAGTAAGGCTGCGTCTGAGCAGCAAGCGCACGTTGGAGAGGAGGCTGCTCACTCAAGGATAGGAATGGTCTTGTGGTTAGATACTGACTAACAATCTGTGCTGTGCTTTGTTCTGCTCTTGTATATAAGCAAGTTCTGAAATAAACTCAGGGCTGTTTGGCTGTTTTGACATGACCAAGGAGACCTCCTGATTCTATCCTGGGTCTTCTGTCTCAGCTTCTTTCATCTGACGTTCCTTTGGCCTTAAAGATTCCCTCACTCCAGGAACCCTTGCTGACTTTGTGGGAGCAGGCTCCTACAGGAGCTCTGGTCCTTTGTCTGGGTATCTTAAGCAAGTGATGTCACTGGGTGATGTCACCATGTGCCGTCTCGGGTATCATGTCCTCCTGACTATTTTTTACAATAGTGATGACTTTTTGGCTGTTAACTTGACTCCATCTGTAACTAATTAGAACACAGAAATGGAGGGCACACATGTGAGGCACTTTTAAAAATTCAGACTGCAGCTTTTCCTCCCATTCCTTTCCCCTCACCTCCCCCCCCCCCCAGTTCACTCCTCCTAGCTCCCCTTAAGGAAACAGCTGGCCTCCCAGGGGTGTCAAAGAATCGTGGCATATCAAGTTGTAGTGAAACTAGGCGCTTCGTTAGGTGTCAGTATTAGAAGGGGCAGAGCCACGGTTGTATAACAATTTCCTCCAAGATGGATTCCATCCTGCAGGGAAGCTCATTAGGCATGAAGTAAACAATACAAAATAACTCCAGGAAGTCCCTGAAACTCACCAGATTCACAAGGCCCCACTCTATCAGATTAAGCAATAAAAGCAGCAAAGAACACTCTCAGACAAACCAAGCTGCAACGAAGACTCTTGAGGCCAGGTGAGCTGCCTGATAGAGGTCTAGACCTGTGTTACCTGGGGAGGGTACTCTCCAGCCTGTTGAGCTGCCTGCAGGCTGTGCAGAGTGCTCTCAGTATCCACCCATTTGAGGGTGTTCCCTGGTAATGCAGGGGTCTTGGAACCATTTATGTTCTTGTAATTAACCCCCCACCCATGTTCATGTAAATAACTCCAACAAAACCTCTTGGTTCATCAAACTGGACTTTTTAAATTTTTTATGTATGTGAGTATTTTACTTGTGTGTGTGTGTGTGTGTGTGTGTGTGTGTGTGTGGTGTGTACCTGGGCCTGAGGAGGTCAGAAAAGGGCAGTGGATCTCTTGGAACTAGAGCTAAAGATGGTCATGAGCTGCCTTGTGGATGCTGGGAGTAAAACCCAGGTTTTCTGCAAGCACAACCAGTGAGTGCTCTTCTCTTCTAAGCCTTCTCTGTTGAGATAAGTCTGTTTTTCATTAAAATCACCTATGTACCTATACATCACGAGAAAGGAGAGAGTGTTTAAATTTCATTTTCTCACAAGACTACTGCACTCGGTGAATGGGATTAAAGTCCTTCTGGTTTAGATTTTATTTATCCCTTCTGTGTGTTAGAAGTACAGACTTGTTTTGTGTGTTCCTTGAGGTACCCATCACACTTTGCTAATTTATATATTACATAACTTTTCATTCCTCTATTACTTAATTTTTCTAATCTTATGGTTAGTTTTGGGATATTAAAATTCTTATTTGTATATGTCTCTCTGTGTGAATTGTATGTGGACATGGAGGCCAGAGAGTAAGTCCATCACATTTCTTCTCTATTGCCTTTTTGCCTATTTACATTCCCCACTGAGACAGGGTCTCTCTATGTAGCCCTGGCTGTCCTGGAACTCACTTTGTAGACCAGGGTGGCCTTGAACTCAGAGATCCACTTGCTTCTGCCTCCCAAGTGCTGGGATTAAAGGCTTGACCCACCACCGCCAGGCGCCTATTCCTTCAAGGTGAGGTCTTTTGATAAACCTGAGGCTCATATTTTCTTGGCTGACTGCCAGAAAGCCCTAGCGATTCTCCTGCCTTTGTCCTTCCAAGTGCTGGGGTCACAGGTACATGTGGGACACGTGGTTTGTTATGCAGGGCCTGGCATCTAAACTCTGCCCTCATGATATTGCAGCAAGTGCTCTTACTGCTGAGCTAGCTTTCCACTACTCCCATTTCTGCGTGTTTTCAGGGCTGCCTGTAGCTCAGGCTGGTCTGGTTGTGGAGAATGGCCTTGAACTCATGACTTCACCCCCTTCACTTCCGCTGGGGTTACTAGTGTGTGAGACCACACCCAGCTCTTCACCAGCTACTTAGACATTTTTGTTTATTTTATTTCATGTGTGTGAACATTTTGCCGACATATGTGTTTGTGCACCATGCGAGTGTCTAGTGCCTGTACAGTGCATCTATAGCTGGAGTTATAGCTGGTTGTGGGTCATCATCTGGATGCTGGGAATTGAACCTTGGTCATCTTCAGGACCGAGAAGCACTCTTAACTCTAGCCCTGCATCAGCTATTTTCGTAAAGAAGGTTCTCGTTGTGATTACTTAATTTTAAAGGCTGATATGAATATGTGTCGAGAAAAGGGTTGTTTGAATACCTCTTGGTGTCAATCTTGGTTTAAGTGCTTAGCAGCTCTGGGGTCTTCAGTAAATCCCTTATTCCCATCCTTTACTCCCTGGGGTAATCACTGCTCAGCTCTCTGCAGGAGTGGCAGTAAAATGATGTCCATGGCACTGAGTAATCGCTATGATCTATTTCATCTCTAAAATCCTTTGAAATTTAAGTCCTTGGTAAGGATGACTTTTTAATACTCAGATGCCTTTGGTTGAAATACTTCACAGAAATCGGGGAAATACTTCCATAGGTTTGGTAGTGTTATTACCTTCTACTGGGGGAGGGGAGCAGTTAAAACGGGCAGCCAACGCCAGGCGGTGGTAGTGCATGCCTTTAATCCCAGCACTGGGGAGGCAGAGGCAGGCAGATCTCTGTGAGTTCGAGGCCAGCCTGGTCTACAGAGCAAGTTCCAGGACAGCTATGGCTGTTACACAGAGAAATCCTGTCTCAAAAAAAAAAAAAAAAAAAAGGCCAGCCAAAATGGGTGTTGGAAGAAACATTTTGTTTGAAAATGGCGTGTTAGAAAGAATACTTGTCAAGGAAGGGGAACCTGCGCTCCCACAAGTAAGGGCTTCTCAGTTCTGGGAAAATGCAGATTGAAAGCAACTCCCAGAAGTTATCTCCTGGATTCCAGAGCATGCTCCGTCACACTCACACCCCACGCCCACACAGTAAATAAACTGAGGGGCTAGAGGGAGATCAGTTAAGAGCACTTGCTGCTCTTCCAGGGGAGCTGTATGATTTCCAGCACCCTCGTGGTGAAGTTCACAACCACCTGTAAATTCAACTCCAGGGAATCCAACATTAATTACATCCTGGTTACCAGGCTGTATAGGTGACCCAGTTCTCAAGTTCATAGTTACCGCTTGTCACTCCAACTGCAGGGAATCCAGTGCCCTCTTCTGGTCTCCAAGAGCACCCGCACCAACATACACAAACTCATACGTGTACACAGAAACAGATAATAAAACAAACCTTTAAATATATATAAATATGATTTCATTTTGAAATATGTCTAAGGTGGGGCTGGGGATATGTCTCAGTGGTTAAGAGCACTTGCTGCTGTTATAAAGGACTCAGCATACACTGGCAGCTCATATCCTTCTATAACCCCATATGCAGGGGATCCAATGCCCTCGTCTGGTACACACACACACACACACACACACACGTAAAAATTAAAATACAAGGAGCTGGTGAGGTAGTTCAGCAGGTAAGCATGTTTGCTGCCAAGCCCAAAGACCTGAGTTCAGTCCCCAGGACCCACACGATGGAGAGATTTGTGGTGTCAGAACGAAACCAACTCTTGCCAGCTGTCCCTGTGCTTCTGCACAAAGGGCTTTAAAAGTAATAACTCCTTTTAACAAATATAAAACTATCCAAGACAGTGTTTTACTACAGAGTTCCAAGTTCTTCTGTTCTTTTTTTTTTTTAATGGCAGTTTTGGGGATGAAATCCAGGGCCTTCCTAAGCCTCTCTCCAGCCCAAATTCAGCTTCTTTCTTTTCTCTTCCCCCCCCCTCTCATTTTTTTGAGACAGGGTTTCTCTGTGTAGCCCTGGATGTCCTGAAATTCACTCTGCAGACCAGGTTGGCCTGGAACTCAGAGATCCTCCTATCTCTGCCTCCCAAGTGCTGGATTCAAATTTGGCTGCTAGGTTCAAATTTTGCTTTCTGAGGAAAGCTGGCAAACCCAGTACCATGAGGAGCTGGCAGAACAACTGAAGGCCTTGTGTGCAGAGCTACTGAGGGCAGAGCAAGCATTGGGATGCCTCTGAATTTCTTCATGGCTCCAGAAAGACTTCAGGTGGCCTCCACCCAGGGCTTTGGCAGAACAGCATTCCGGAGGCACTTGGAAGTGAATCCATGCAGCGAGCACGAGCACACACGCACGTATACACACACACTCTCTCTCATGATCTGCCTTCTTTCCTGGAACCACCGAGGAGCTCCCAAAAACTTAAATAGGAAGAAAAGTCTTATGTCTTGTGGGGATCCACAGATGTGAGCCTGTTCCACCTTGATTGGAGGTCAGCGAGTTTGAGTTTATTTTTGCTCTTTCAAAGTTGTTGACAACGGGTGTGGCTACAAACAGGAGATCCTGACCTAGGGTGTGGTTAATTAGTCTTTGGGGTGTAGAGATGGATCCACTCCACTTGGGCTTTATAAAGGTCAGAAAATTCAAGTCTATCCCTTACATCACATTAATGAAGTCTGTTGCCTCCCCCCTCCCCTTTTGGAATGAAGTATATAAGCATGTGGAAAATAAAGAGTTCAGGATTCAGTGCTCACTGAATGTCCCTCCCGATGCTATTCCGTGTTCCTTTTGCTTAATAATTCTAATCCTCACGCTCCTACCCTAGAAAGTATGAGTTATATTGAGGCTGGTCTTCAACAATGTCCCAAACCGTATTTGGCTGTGGTCATGAAGGTGGTTACTAGGCTATAGGTGACCAATTCCCAAGTTCAAAGTTTCAGGTTTCTTGTCAGTGCCCAAGTTTGCTAAACATCGCCACCTGCTGTCCCAAAAACTGATAACCAGAAAACCTCACAGATGCTGAGACTCAAAAAAGGCATTGACAAGCCAGTGGGCCCTGGTAACCCCTCTCCAAGAAAACTCACCAGAGAGCTCTCTGTTCGTTCTGCCAGCTGGACCACAGTGATTGTCCCATCTATTTACTACTGACGAAACAGCCCACAGACGGTCATCCTGCCACTGAGTCCTGTTGGGACTGACCCTAAAGATCTGGAAGACTTATTGCCCAGGAACTCCCCCCTTTCACCCATGCCCTTTCTCTTTGAAATACGGCCTTCTGCAGCCTCAACCTTTGTGTGCAGAGTTTCTGATCCTTTGAACCACTGAGTGCTGGGACTGCAGGTATGTGTCCCTACACCTGTTTTGTTGTCATTTGTTTTGTTTTTCTGGTTGCTAGGAATGGTGCCTGCTGGGCAAGCATTGTGCCAAATACATCCCAATACCAGGCCCGGGAACTTTTATAAAGGTTATGGTAAACTCTGAGCTGGCTGTGTAGCCTGATTATCTAAGTTTGATGTCCAGGCCTCATGCAGTGGAAGGAGAGAAGCGACTCTGGCAAGTGGTCCGCTGACTTTCAGGCAGGCACCATGGCATGAGTGTGTGCATGTGCGTGTGCACACACACACTACCCATAAATAAATAAATACATAAATAAATAGCGTATATTTTTCGAGATAGGGTCTCACTATGTAGCCAAAGTTGTAAACCGCAAGGCTGTGCATGCTAGCACACGGCTGCATTCCCAGGCCTCTGGAGGTGTGAGCAGTAGGATCTTGAGTTTGAGGTCGGCCTGGATACACAGTGAATTCCGACACAGCCTAAGTCACACGGTAAGACGCTGTCTCGAAGCAAAAGGTGTTTTGGTGAAAATACACATGAAATTTACTTTGTTTTTGAGACAGGGTCTCCCTATGTAGTTCAGGCTTGCTTGGAACTCCTTATGTAGATCAGGCTAGCCTCACAGTAAAGGTACTCCTTGTGCCTCTCCAGTGCTAGGATTAAAGGCAAATAATAACATACCCAGCCACATTCGGATCTTAGGCGTGCGGTTTGGTAGGGACATACAATCAGTCCATTTTGGTTGTGTGATATTTTGTTTGTGTTCTGACAAGATCAGAGGGTGGAGCTAGCCACTAGTAAGTGGTGGCACAGGCCTTTAATCCCAGCACTGTGGAGATGGGACCTCAGCCCTTTCCAACTGAGGACCGAGAAAGGAAGGAAGCAACTGGCGGCTGCTCCTGGTTCTCTGATCTTCTAGGTCTTTACCCCATATCAGACTCTTGTTTTTGTTGTTGTTTTAACACCTGTCCTCCCATGTTTATTGTCACTATACTTAGAACAACCAGGAAAATGAATCAACACAGTATCCAGCAACTGACCAGCACATAAAGAAAGCAGATTGTTACACAGTGCAGTCTCGTGCAGCCTTAAGGATGGGATGAATTTACCTCGTTTGAGGCAGTATGCATGGACCTGGTAGGCACTAATTTATGTAACAAGCTAGGCAAGCACAGCTAAAACTACCACGGTGGCAACAGAATCGAGAAAAACACAGAAGCAAGATCACAAGATCTTCCATCACCTGTCCCCAAAGATGAAACAAGTTGGTACCAGGAGGAAAGGTTGCTTGGTTCAGGTGACTTTTCAGACCCCCTGGCCCGAGGGAGAGATGGCTTCCTGCAGAACAAGGTGAAGGAGGTGGTTCTGCTCAGCAGTCAGCAGCGGCCACATCTCCACCTGCAGCTTCTTGATGCCTTCTATGTCCTTTTCGTGGGCAGCCATGACCAGGGACTGCAAAAGCAGAAACAGTTCCTCGGGAAGGTGGCCGCTGCTATCCTGGCCGTGGCTGTCAAAAGCCTCCCAGGAGTACTTCTCCAGGGTCTGGGCATGCTCGGGCAGCAGCTTGGCGGGCGGTGGTTGCAGGAGCAGCAGCAGCAGCACGCGGGACACCTCGCACCTGACAAGGATGTCTGCGAAGGCACCCAGTGTGCGGGGAGAGGGCGCAGCAGAGCCTGGGGCTTGGTCCGGGAGCAGCGGGAGGGGCAGGGTCGGGGCCGAGCCAGGTCTCGGCTGGGGTCCCGACGGGGGCGGTTGGGGCCCAGGAGGCTCGGGGTGCTGCACCGGGTGGCCGCCATGCTCCCGTGCCAGACGTTGCATGCGTGTAAAGAGCGCCAGGGCGCCGGTGTAGTCGCGCGCCAGCAGCTGGCAGGAGGCGGCGTCGCCGAGCGCCTGCAGCGCGGCCAGCGGCATCAGGGGCAGGTGCAGCTGGGCAGCGCGCTGAAAGTGACCGGCGGCGGCGGCCGGCTGGCCCAGGGCGCGAAGGGCGGCAGCCAGCTCGAGGCACAGGGCGGCGGCGGCGGCCGGCTGGCCCAGCTCGAGGTGAAGGCGCACGGCGGAGCCCAGGGCGCTGGCGGCCGCCTGCAGAGGCTCGCCACAGGCGTCCGGACAGCCGAGGCGCTGGCGGGCTTCGCACTCTTGCCGCAGGAAGAGTCGGGCGGCCTCGGTGAGGGCCAGCGTTTCCCCGGGCCCGTGGAAGAGCGCCTGGTGGCAGCGCGCCACGGCCAGCTGGCACCAAGCGGCGTAGGGCAGGCACTCCTGGGCGCGCAGCTCACGGGCCAGCTGCGCGAACTGCTCCCCGGCCTCGGCCACGTTCGGCTTCCGCAGGAATCGCTTCTTGAGCTTGTGGGACACCTGCCGATAGCGGGCCAAGAAGTCCCCGGCCTCGGAGCCGGGCCACGCGCCGCCACCCAGGGAGGATGCGGAGCCCGCCGCCATGTTAGCAGGCTGGCCGCGCCTCCTGACTTCCGGTTAGGGTGCGCAGACGAACGCAGCCGCAGCTACGTCCAGGCAAGCGCTGTGTCCTCACTGGGATCACGTATCAGCTCCCAGAATCTCGGTTTTTTATTAAGATTGCTTAGATTAACGCTTCGCTTTTTGTCACAGTCCTAGAAGCATTTCAGGGCACACTTCTCTTGCCTCCTGTCGCGTATCCCCTGCCAGGTCTACCCTGCCAGCAGGGCTTCCCTAACGAGGGTTTACTGAAACCGGGAAGCTGCAGTTTCTCCACTGCCTGAGGGCGGGCGTTCAAACTGTGGTTGAATGCTCGCTGTTTTCACCTCTTTTCAGGCAGAAGGGGTCGTAGAGGCTTGCTTTCCCGCTGCTGGGACTCTGGGGTGACGGCCTGGGGAGGTACTGAAGGTGGCTGCTGTTCTGCCAGCGTCCCTCAGATGCTGAGGAGATGGCAGATGGGGCTCACGGGGTCCACGAGCTCCTGCCGTTGCACATGTATTTTATGTGCAAGTGAGAACATGTGGTTTTTCTAGGGACATGGGTGTAGTGATATTTGAACTGTATTTTTAATAAATAAAGACTACCTGAAGATCTGAGAATAAAACAGTCCAACTGGTTTAGCTTTTCAGACCTGATTATGGTAACATACACCTTTAATCCCAGTAGCCACAATGACATGCCCCTTTAATCTCAGTAGCCATAATGACACACACCTTTAATCCCAGTAGCCACACTAGTTGCCATAGAAACTGGGCGGTGCATGTCTTTAATGACAGAGGTGCATGGCTTTAATCCTAGCCCTAGAGAGGACTATAAAAGGGGAGGAAACAATTCTTTTTTCTTTCGTTTTTTTTTTTCCAAGATAAAGTTTCTCTGTGTGGCTTTGAACCTGTCCTGGAACTCACTATGTAGACCAGACTGGCCTTGAACTCACAGAGATCACCTGCCTCTGCCTCCTGAGTGCTGGGATTAAAGACCTGTGCCACCACTACCTAACTGAAGAAACAGTTTTCAGTCACACAGTCTCTTGAGATTCCAGGAAGCAGGATTGCCATTTTCAGACTGAAGTCGAGGTAAGAGCCAGTGGCTGGCTGTTTTGCTTTTTGGATCTTCAGGTTGAACCCTAATTTCTGACCCTGAGTTTTTATTAATCGTGATGCACATAGACCGTTACCTTAGGCCAGAAAGGCTAAGGGCCACCAGATACACACCTGGGGCTTTCATTTATCTCGCACTCCTATCTGGAAGAATCCGGGGCTATGAGTGAAATGTCCTTCGGTACCACTGCCCTGTGTGGTTGTGGACTGAATGAGGACATCTGAGAGGACAAAGACATCACAAAAGTGAAACTGGAGAGAAGAGTGAGGAAGATGGAAGTGGTGTGGCAGAAGGATTACAATCTGCAGACACACTGGCAGGAGTGTGGTGCACACCCAAAGTCCTAGCTCCTGGCAAGCTGAGGGAGGGAGGTTGTAAGCTCAAGGTTAGCCTGGCTGGGTAGCAAGGACCTATTTCACAAAAATAAAAACAACCAGATTTGCAGACATTCGTTGGAAGTGGGATAAACAAGGCCACTCAACTGTCATTTTTAAATCATCCCGGCCCTGGGGGTTCCTTACAGTCCTTCCTGGAGACTTTAGTGATGCTGGAACTTTCTAGAAGACTCCTGCTAGCTCATCAAGTACTGGTCATGAGTAAGACTGCGTGTGAGTGATCTGATGAGCTCGCCAGCCCTCACCAGGCGTATAAAAGAGTATTGGCCTCATTTCACATAGGAAAAACCTCGTAGAGAGAACAGGTAACTCCTCCAACAGACCAAGACGGAACACAGATTTGAACCCAGGACTATCTCACTCCTGAGCATGCTTTCCAAATCACCAGACCTTCATTTTTAACAAAAGTTGTAAGACAATGAAGAAAAGCTTACTTTCTTTCATTATACAATCCTCCACCTAGGAGTCACATTTTCACTGGAGGAACACAAGAAAGCGGCTGGGCTGCTGATGCCTCAAACCATTATTCTCCAAATTACAAAGACGCAAACACACACAGACACACAAGCACATACAGAGACACACACAGACATGTAGACACACAGACACATACACATATACAAGAACACATACACAGACATAGGCACAGACACACAAGATATAGACACACACATACATAGACACACACACACACACACAAACACACACACAAACACACACACACACACACCCCACTCACGCAGGGTTTCCTATCCCTGAATGGCCTTGGACCTTGAACTTTTGATTCTCCCATTCCACCTGCCAGCTGCTGAGACTTCAGGCATGCAGCTACCACATCCTCATGACATTCTGGTGCATGCTAAGCAAGCATTCTACCATCAGAGCTGCATCTCCCACCTTCCAAGCTCCTCCTAGGCGTAGGATTGTATTGAGCGAAGAGCACAAACCCATCTGGCCGTATTGCCTGTATCAGTCAGGGTTCTCAAGAGGAAAAGAATTGGTTGAATATATTACAAAGGGGATTTATTAGAACTGTTAACGTGGTATGGGCTAGGGAGCCCAATAATGGCTGCCTGCACACTGGAGAAGTCAAGAGCCCTGGAAGCTGCAGACTGGATCCCTCAGCAGTTCCAATCTGGTACTGGAAGCCTGGAGAATTCCTGGAGAGTCATTGGTCTTCAGTCCACCTTGGAAGGCCAAAGAAGCTGGATTTCTTTGTTAGTGAAGGATGGTAGCAGCAGCAAGGTAGATGCAGTCACCGGTAAGGAGAACAGTCAGCAGGCAAAGTAACATTGCCCCCCCCCCAAGATTTCATTATATCTGGGCTGCCATCAGAAAGTGCTGCCCATGCTGGGGACTGGGGTGGGGGATCAGAGGAAGTGGGGGCAGGATCTTCTCTATCCAGTTAATCCTTTCAGAAAGTATCTTCACAGAATAGAGCCAGTCAAACTGACAGCCAAGGTCAACTATAGGACTACCAGAGACCTTTAGGAGGCTTGAGAATTTATAAACAGGCCAGACAGAGAGCAAAAATCTGCACTGTTAGCCAGCTAGGACTCTGGAGAGAGGGAAAGAGAGGCCTTGTTGGGGGGGGGGTTACTAAGTATGCTGTGTGGAGCAAACTCATTTCTCTGTGGCCTGGGTCAGATTTGGAGGACTCCGGGATGCGTTGGCCTTATCTGGAAGAGAGGACCAGACAGATCTCAGGCTGCTGGTAGAGGGCCACCACCTCTCATTGCTTGGCATCTACTTGTCTCGTATGAGGCAGTACCTGGGGGCGGCAGGGGAGACAGGTGCTGTTGGGCAGAGGTAACGGGAGGGCTAAAGTTATGATTTAAGTTTTGGGGTGGGGAAATGTAAGGGCCAAAGTAAAGTTTAGATGACTGTACTTAGAGATCTATAAAACAAAAGTGTCTTTAACCTGTAAGCCCCACTTGCCCAAGGACGGGTAACTTCCTAGAACGCTGGGGGCTGTTGTTCACGTAAGAAAACAACCCACACTTTTTAGTGCGCCTGCAAACAAGTTTGGTTGCCTCAACTACACAGGATGTGCTGGATTCCCTACCTGGAAGGTGACTTTTCTGTAGCCACTAGGTGTGACTGCCCCTGAAGTTTAAGTGATAGGCAATTCATTTCTTAGTTCTAAAGTTTCCTCGGGCAGGTGATGGGTTTCTTAGTTCTAGGAAATGCTGTGGAGTCCTGTCCACTCCCATTCTGCTGTTTAAATTCTGTTCAGCCCGATGGGATTCAGCTCTTCACCAATTAAACGCCCCCAAATCAGTAGGGATCTTTTTTTTTCCCTTTCTTTTTCTTTTTCTTTTTTTCGAGACAGGGTTTCTCTGTGGCTTTGGAGCCTGTCCTGGAACTAGCTCTATAGACCAGGCTGGTCTCGAACTCACAAAGATCCGCCTGCCTCTGCCTCCCGAGTGCTGGGATTAAAGGCGTGCGCCACCACCGCCTGGCCAGTAGGGATCTTTTAATCCCACTGGGCAAGAATAAGACCACTACCACAATTTTTGAGTCAACTTTGAAGCAAGCTGTGCTAAATTACTGGCCAGGATGATAGACACTGGCTAGGTCCATACCCAGGATTCCCGGAAAATGGCCACGAATTACATTAGTCTGGTGCCTATAAAGACAAACCCCACAAGGCCCGTACTTCCCACCTTCATCCAATGGCGGGGCACCACTCTTCCTGACGTGCAATGAGAAAACCAACCTCATCATCTGCCCTCATTATAAGCCCTTTGTAAGATACACCAGATGAATGTATACAACTGCACTCAGTTGAAAGAGTGTACACACGTGCACACGTGTGTGTGTCCCACAAACACACCTCTTAAAACGTACCAACTTCTATTCACTTTGTTACTCGTCACATGGCTACAAACTGAACCATGTCCTACGAGGGTAACTGTTCTTGCACCCCCCGCCCCCAATCTCCTGGAACTGGAATCCAGGGCTCCATGTATGCTTAGCATGTGTGGCGCTGAAGCCCCTCCCCGCCCAGGCCAGCACATGCTTCATAAATAAACAAAAAGGTAAAGCATAGTAATGCATAATTAATTCAGTACTTTATTTTCAAAGGCTACCTAAATTTCCATTTCAATCGGGACGTCTTTGAGAAGACAGCCCCCTCAGCCCTCGGTGAGCACCACTGCCTCGTGGATGCTCTGCGTGATGTAGTCTATGTTCCTGGCGTTGATGCAGGTGAAGTTGATACGGCTGCTCCTGGGGATGTAGATGTGCTTCTTCTTGGTCAAGAACTCCACCTGCGGGTCTGTGACAGGCACAGGACTCAGACTTCCTCTCAATCCCAGGCAGAAGTATAGGATAAGAAGTGTCATTTGTGGGGATCCCATAAAGTTCTCTGCAGCAGCCCTGCTTGTCCAGGAGTGGGAGGAAAGCCCAGAGCAAGGTTGGAGACTGATCATCCAGTCAGGGCTGCTCTGTGTTAAGACACAGGTCTGAGGTCAGGCAGGGGAGGGTCACCCCGTTCTGGAACTTACAGTTGAGCCCTAGATAACCGTGGGTCCCACTCTGTTTGGTGATGTGATTCCAGCACCCAGGGGTCCCCAGGAGTCGGAGCTTCTCCTTCACCTTCTCCTTGACCAACATGATGTTCTCCACGACACCTTTCAGACTGTATTTCCTGCCAAGGAAAGAAGCAAGAAATGGGGCCGAGAGGTCTCCTTGTTGTCCAACATGTCTTCCCCCCTTCCTCCATGCCAGGGAGCACGTGGCTGGAACCTGAGCTCTGTGGCACCTGTGGTCAAAGGAGGTCCGATTCTGCTGTTGTCTGGGTCTTAAACATCTCCCAAAGGCTTGTGTGTGTTAAAGGCCGTGTCACTGTTGGTTGTGGGAGGATGTTAGCTCATTGAGGGGTGGATGTCTCTTTCTTTACATCTGTTTGCCTTCTGGACATCATAAAGTGAACGTTTGTTACCCCAAACTGTACCATCGTGCATTGCCTCACCATAGGATCAAGGGGTGCTGTCAACTGAACTTCCTAAACCGAAAGTGAACACAAAACCTTGCTTTTTGCTGGGGAGAAACCCAGGCCCCAGATTAATTTAAGTAAGCGAAGTAGACTGCCAGATTTTGCCATCTTATTTTTAGTGTGTGTGTGTGTGTGTGTGTGTGTGTGTGTGTGTGTAGGTCTAGGTTCTTTTGGGAATCATCAGGTCTTGAGGTCATCAGTCTTGGCAGGAAGTATCTTTACCTGCTGAACAATGTAGCAGGCTCAGATCAGATTCTCTCTCTCTCTCTCTCTCTCTCTCTCTCTCTCTCTCTCTCTCTCTTTCTCTCTCCTGCGCTTGTGTACAAAACAACGGGTTTCAACTCAATGCAATCTTGAAGTGTTTAGATAACTAACTCACTGGCTTATCTCCAAAACAGGTGACATTGTCCACTCCTACAAGGCAGCGCCACCCTTGGCGTAGCTAGAGCCGCACACAGAGGGCCTCAGTGAAATCTGATGAACGTGTGCACGAATGAGTGGGATAAGAGACCACAACGTAGAAAAAGGACCCAAGCGAATCCCGTGAACCGTCAGTCTGTAGGAGCCCTAGCACCCTCCCATGCCCAGACCCTCCCACCCCGTACCATTCTCCAAACAGAGCAGGGTTGCAGAGGATGGACGTGATTATCCGGGCGCCCGTGGCGGGAGGGTTTCCCCATAGGGCCCCAACGTAGTCCATCAGCTGGGAGAGGACACACAGCAGATCCTGGTTGCTGAGGGCCGCCACGACTAGAATCCCCACTCCTTCATCTGCAGCGTGAACAAGACAGCCTCACCCTCGCGGTCGGAACCTCACCTACCCCTCTCCCTCCCACCTTGTAGGGGGAAGGGCTAAACTGTGGCGTCACCGGCTCAGCCCAGCCGGACTAGCGCTTGGCCCTAGAAGCCCCAGCCTCTTTTTTTTTTTTTTTTTTTTTTTTTTTTTTTTTTTTTTTTTTTTTTGCAGAAAGAGTATCCATAAGCAAGAGTGTGCAAGGAGAGAGCTCGAGAGATTTGCTCAGTACCTCCTCCTCAGCTTCCAGCCAAGGAGGCAGAGGCCTGAGAGGGTGAAATTTTAACTAGATAGAACAGGTGCGGGTGTCTTGGGTAATCTGGGTTTAGTGACAGAGCCCAACTTCTAGCTCACGGGTGCTCTTTTCTGCCCGCACTATGATTTTTCTGGAGTACTAGGCTCCTTCCAGGGGATAAGTGATATCAAAAACATCTATCCTTTGGAGGAGTGGTAGGGGAAGGCAGTAGGGAAAATATGAGTAAGTACAGTGTCTGGTGTGTGTATGTGTGTGTTTGAGGGAGAGAGACAGAGACAGAGACACAGAGACAGAGGAGAGACAGAGAGACAGAGGAGAGACAGACAGAAATACAGAGACAGAGACACACACAGAGAGAACATTATTAAAAACTCATTTTGTAAGCTCATACACACACACACACACCAAAAACACTTGTGCAATGGATATGGCAACAACTTTGTTTCCCATTTCTCTTCTCCTTGTCCTTCTGCCCATATCATACCATAAATGCCAAAATTCTTGGACAGAGACTGGCTGCAGAAGAACTCAAACCCCAGAGACACAAAGTACTGTAAGAGCCTGGTGTCTTCTTCCAGGTCGCCGGTGGACAGACCCTGGCAGGGAATGTCGAAGAACGGGAAGAGGTGCTTGCTCTGAAAGAGAAAAGAGAAACCGAAAGCATGAGGCTGCAGCTGGGGGGACAGCAGAGGTGAGAGGAGGGGTCATGTGGCCGGGAGCTGGGCCCACCTTAATGATGGACATCAGCTTTGTCCACTGATTTTGTGTGAGCCTGCAGTCAATGATGTTCCCAATCACAAGGATACTATCAGCTGGGATATGCTGTAGGAAGACACTGTCTTGTCAAGGCACCACCTCTAACGGTACAGAGGTGACACCTGGCGGTTAGAGGGGAAATACTCTCGAAGGTTTGTTCTCACCAGAAAACCAGGCCAATCCAAGCTCAGCAAGGGCCTCGGGCGAGGGGCCACAAACCAGGTTGATAGAGGGAGAAGATTCTGAGTGGGGACCCCTTTACCTCCATCACGTCGAAGAATAAGATGGGGTCTGAGCACAGCTCCTTGGGGTTCCAGATGGAGTATTCATAGACTGTAAAACCCATGTCCTGGAAGATGAGTCCGTACTGTTCTGTGGGAACACAGACCCCCTACCAGCTGGGGTCCGTGGAAATGGAGAGGCAGAGGCAGAGATGCCAGAGAGCAGGGTGAGGGTTACTGACTGACGGGAGGACAATAACAGGAAAAGGATGGGCATAGCTTGGCACAGCCACTATTTTTCTCCTGCCGAAAAGTGAGGGCAAGAGTGGAGATTACACACAAGGCGGGAATTGGCAACACTCACCCTTTTGGCACGAGACGATACAGACGTTTTTCAAATTCTTACGCCAGGTCCTGAGAAACTGGGCCCCAAGCTGGAAGGCCCCACTGTCACCAACAGTGTGCACACCCCCTACCTGTCAGCAAGCGATACACGAAAGGCACGTTTTACAGGAGCAGCGGCAACCCCAGCGCGTCTCAGACTCAGACTTTAATTCTCTTTGGTGCTGGGGTTGATCTGAGGGCCTTATACACACTGAACATTCCAGTCTTCTTCCTTGTCTTCTTTTACATTAAAACGATCTATTTACAGGTTTTAAATCAGCAACATGAGTTGGTGCAACTGAGTGTCTGAATGAGGATTTAGGTTCGGATCCCAGCTCTGCTTCCCCATGTAAAAGCTATGGATGTTCGGAGTCTGGGGGGGGGGGACCGCCTTTGTCAAGGCCCCCGTGGTGCCATGCAGCCCTGGGTCTGTCTCCTCTCGGTGTCTCACCCTTTTCTCAGCAATGGCTTGGCTGTGCTTTCCAAAGAGGAGTTCCAAGGCGGCTTGGATGAATGATTTCATGCCCAGCAGGGGCAGGTACTCATAGTTCAGAGAGGGGTCCCGGGCGATCTTCAGGCGAGTCTTGTGTACCACAAGGGAAACCCAGGGATGGCCTTCATCGGTCATGCAGACTGTGGAGAAACTTCAAAGGGAGTTCTGGATGCCCGACCTCGGGGTCTCCGGGGCTGGGCTTGGCAGAAGCTCATGAACCACAAGTCTGGCTTGTGCTTTGAAAAGTACCCATGAAAGGTTAAGCTTAACCCTCCCCTCCATTCCTCCCTGCCTCGCTGCCTTTCTGGCTTCTTTACTTTTATAAAACAGTGTGCTGTTAGTGATTGTGTTTTAAAAAAAACCACCACCACTACCACCAAGAACCTCAGCAAAGTCAGGCCTGATGGTCCATACTTGTCACCCCAGCATTGAGGAGGGGAGGCAGGAGGATCATTTTGAGGCCAGCCTTGTCTATAGTGTGTTTCAGGCCAGCCTGAGCAAGATACCTGTCTCAAAAACAAAAACCACAAGCAAAACAGAACGCAACAAAGGCAGCTGAAACCTATGCATTTTAAAGGTTACATACAAAATTAATTAGACATTCAAGAAGTTAAACAAAAGATATGCCCTGGCTTTCATGATGGCGAGGCCTGATTTCATATTAAGAAGGGGCTCACTGTGTCTGACTTTCTCCCTTTCTTTCTTTTTTTTCTTTTTCTTTTTTTAAATATTTATTTATTATGTATACAATATTCTGTCTGTGTGTATGTCTGCAGGCCAGAAGAGGGCACCAGACCTCATTACAGATGGTTGTGAGCCACCATGTGGTTGCTAGGAATTGAACTCAGGACCTTTGGAAGAGCAGGCAATGCTCTTAACCACTGAGCCATCTCTCCAGCCCCCTGACTTTCTCCCTTTCTGTGTCTGTCTCTTTTTCTATGTCTGTCTGTTTGTCTGCTTTCCTTGTCCTCTCCCTCTCTCTAGTTTTTTGTTTTTCAAGACAGGGTTTCTCTGTGGCTTTGGAGCCTGTCCTGGAACTAGCTCTGTAGACCAAGCTGGTCTCGAACTCAGAGATCCGCCTGCCTCTGCCTCCCGAGTGCTGGGATTAAAGGGGTGCGGCACCATCGCCCGGCTCTCTAGTATCAGGCCTTACAGGCTGCCTTGAACTTGCTTTGTAACTGAAAATGACCTTGAATGTCTGATCTTACACCCCTCAGGTGCTGGGATTACAGGTGTGTGCCACACCTGGTTTATTTGCTAGGGATTGACAGAAGGGCTTTAGGCATGCTAGGCAAGCACCCCCCTCCCCCAAGTCTTAATTTTTGGTTTCAAGGAGAGCCCTGGGAGGGGAGATAGTTCAGTGGTTAAGAGCACATATTAGCCCTTGAAGGGAACTCAAGTTCAGTTCTCAGCTCTTACATCAGGTAGCTCATCACCCCCTGTAAAGCCATCTCTGGGGTTCAATGCCACCTTGTACATGTTCGCTCATGTACACGTGCACATGTATGTACGCACACACACATTCTCTCTCTCATACACCCACATATAGTTAAAAAATTAAAACAAACAAACAAACAAACGAAAACCAACCAAAGAATTAGAGGAAAGCAAAGTGTGGTGGTGCCTCCAGGACTTGGGGGGTGGAGGCAGGAAGAGACTCTGCTCAGGGTCTTTCTCAGCTGTTTGTGAGTTCAAGGCCAGCCTGATTTACGAGGGGCCAAAAACAAACAAATGAGAGACGGAGGTTACAGTAGCAACTAAAGAAAAGGTGGGAGGAGAAAGAAGATGGCTCCTCCCAAATTCCCAGAAGTCCCCAGCAAAGGGCCCAGGGTATGGGGTGACTTGGAACCCTCACTGCTCTTCTATGCTCTGGGCAGTTCCGTTAATAAACTAAAACCCTTCCCAGCTGCGGAGGCATGGGCTATTCTTCATTCCTCCACCGGGGGGCGCTGCCCGCTGACAGGCAGTCAAAATATGCAGAAAACTGAAATGACTGGCTCCTACCTCTGTAGGCCAGAAACATCTTGCTAGAATAATTGTCTTGCTTGTAGATCTTTAGTAAGCTGCCTTCCAGCTTCTGGGCTGGGGGTATGTCCCTAAACACAGAAAGACTAGTCATAGTTGAGCATTTACGAAACCAACAACTGTGACCCTTCTGCAGGTGTCTTCTTCCCAGAACCTTAGCAGCTCTGATGCAGACACTGCTCTGACAATGGGTTGTCAAAGAAACAGAACCTTAGGACTCTCAGTCTCCGTGGTGGCAAGTTCAGGGGTCACAGGAACATTCCATGGTACTGGAGGAGAGTCCTCTGGGAGAGTAGGCAATGGGGAGAAGTGATAAAGGACGTGGGATTCCCAGGCACTTTCCCCCATCTAACTTACTGCCTTCTATAGCCCCAAGCCATCCAACTAAAAATAACAAGTCAGTCTCTAAAAAGCAGGACAAGCCTGGCAAGCCATCAAGCTAGGTAGGGCTCCCCCAACAGAAGCAAACATCCCATGGCACACAATAGTGCCAACCAAGGGATGTATTTGCGGCTTCCATTCTGCAAGGAGTTGGGTAAGCACTCAAATCACACTATGATGTGAGCGTAGAAAATCCAATTTTCTTTTCGGTGCTGGGCATTGAACTCAGGGCTTGAAACACATTCTTCAGAGACCTGGAGATTTAAAAGCAGTAAAAAGGGTGTTCTGGTTTCTGTAAGTGTTGCAGCTCGGATGGAAAGGTATCTTGGCAGACAAGGAAAACCCCGAAGTTATTTTAAGTGTAGTAACTTACAGCCCTGCTGCAGGGAAAGGAAGAGGGTTTCCACACAGGACGGTTTCCCCAGCAAAGTGTTTGAGCTCTGCTCAGGACCCCTGGAGTGTAACAACTCTGCCCCACGAAGGGAAAGTTTCCCCAGCAAAAGTGTTACAGACAGTTCTGCTCCTCTCTGGCTCTGGCCAAAGTGGTTATAGCCGGCCTCTGCTTGGCAAAAATGTCACACTGCACAACAAACCTCACTCAAGAGATTTATTAGGAAGGAAGAATCCAGGGGGTGGCTGTCTCCAGTGTGAGCAGCAGCAGCACACTGAAGAGGGTACAGATCTTATACAGGGTTTCTTGGGGGGTGGGTTGGCAGAGTGCTTGCCTAGCGCGTATAAAATTCAATCCGTAAGCCGGGTGGTGGTGGCGCACGCCTTTAATCCCAGCACTCGGGAGGCAGAGGCAGGCGGATCTCTGTGAGTTCGAGGCCAGCCTGGTCTACAAGAGCTAGTTTCAGGACAGGAACCAAAAGCTACGGAGAAACCCTGTCTCAAAAAATCAAGAAAAAAAAAATTCAATCCGTAGTGTTGCATAAACCAGGTACAATGACAAATGCTTGTTACTCTAGCTGTCAGGAGGGACGGAGGCCGAAGAATTTTAAAAATTCATGGTCTTTCTCTGCTACATAGACTTAGATACTGTTTCAATAATACAACACAAAACAACAGTTTTTGTTTGATATGCAAAGGAATTAAATGAGAGTGTTCTATAGTATAGTGTGAGGGGAAAGGGGTTAGCAAGAGGTTGCACACCTAGAAACTGCATCACGCTCCAATTATTTTCTTTTTTTGTAACTCTTTCCTTCCTAAGCCAGGGTCTCAGTACGCAGCTGGGCTGGCTTTGAACTTGCCATATAGATCAGGTTGTCCTCAAACTCAGAGAGCCCCCACCTCTGCGTCCTCAGTTCTGGTACAAAGGCATGTGCCACTACACCTGGCTTTGTGGGGTTTCTTTTCTTTTCTTTCTTTTTTCTTTTCTTTTTTTTACTTATGGACATTTTACTTGTATGTATCCGTGCAAACCTCGCGCCTGGTGCTGGGGCAGTCAGGGAGAAGGTGGATAGTTGAGAACTACCGTGTGGATGCTGGGAATCGGACCTAGACCTCTGGAAGAGGAGCCAGGGCTATTAAATGCTGAGCTATCTATCTCTCCAGTCTCCCCCGCCATTGCCACCCTCTCCCTCCCTTTCTCCGCCAATCTGCTAGCTCAGGCTGAGTACCCTTACTAGCGAAATGGGGAACCTGAGGTTCCCCAAAGACCAGTATTTCCTCTGCTTGCCGCGGGTCGGCCCCACTGCCACCAGCCTAGCCTCGGCTGTGAGCTTTGCAGCCTCAGCGGTCTAGATGCCCCGGGTGACTCGGGTGGACTTGAGCAGAAGTGGCATGGGGGGGGGGGGAACACCACAATTCTCTCTGTCTCTCTGTGTCTGTCTCTGTTTCTGTCAGTCTGTCTGTCTCTCCCCCTCCCCGCGCCCCCTTCTGCCCTCCTGAGGCTTGAACTCTGAAGGAAAAACCTCGGGAGAAGGAGCTGAAGAAGGGGGTATCTGTGCTGTGACTGGGTAGCATCTCTGCCTCAGATTGTGCCATCTTGTAGGTGGCGACTGATTTTCAGGCTTGCAGTGGCAGTGACGTCTTCAGAGCTGGGGAGATCGCGTACAGCGTCTGTAAAACTTTAGAAACGCTTTTAAAAGACCAAAACGTCTTTTGGTAGCTGTTTAGGAAGAAGACACAAGATAGCGCTAGAGAGCCGACAAGAGGATGCATCAGCTTTAGGGCGCGGGTGGGTGGGTGGGGTGGGTGTAGACAGTTCTATGAGGGTGTTTTCGGAGCTAACATTTCCTTAAATTCGGCCCCACTGTCACTCCTTTGGAGGACTTTGTACATGCTCCCCACAAACTTTCCACACACCCCGCAAGACCTTGGGAATCCTTGGAAATGACCTTGAGCATGAACGTGAGAAGGCAGGCAAAAATGGCAGGAGCAAAAGCTACTTCCTTAGATTGCTTCCGAGTTTGGGCCAAGCGCTTGGGATGAGCGGACGTCAGAGCTCTGGGTGAGACTCAGGTGGCCACAACTGTGATAGAAGAGGAATGGGGATGCCCGAGAAGCCGTGGGGTGAGCAGAAGGCGTGAGCTACACCGTGAGAACGAGCGCTTGCCATACCAGGAAACTGCTGGCGTCTCACTTCTCTCTGGGCCCCACGTGTTAAATAAGAATGGAGAAATCGGCTTTTAAGCTAAGATCAGGCAGCACCCACATCACAGCTCACAACTTTCTTGAACTCCAGATTTGGGGACCCGAACCCCTCTTTTATCCTTCTCCAGCACCAAGCATGCATGCAGTGCATAGATATACATGCAGGAGAAACACCCATACAGATAAAATAAATCAATAAGTGAATTTTAATTCAGACATTAAAACAGAGAGGAGAGGAAACCAGGAGAAGATGAGCATCTTCTGTAAGGGGCCGCCAGGTCCTGACATTAGAAACGCTTTTTGCTCTCTCTATACCTTCTACCTATCCCTACCATTTATCTTATTGACAAAGCTGTATTTGGTGAAGGGAGATATGACCAAGACCCAAAGCCAGGCCAAGGTCAGACCAGAGTCTGGACATGGTGAGAGCCGAAGGGGGACCTCTAGTGGAGGGTCTATAAAGTCAAGGGAATTAATCTGAGATGGGTCCGACTCTCATAAGAAAGAACAGGCAGGGCATCTCATAGTGACCAAAGACAAGCCCCACAAAACAAGCAGGGCTATGGGAATGTAAATCAGTAGGTCAGGAACTTGTTCTAGCTCTAGTCTCATTCCACCAAGTTATGCTGGAGCAGCCCCTTCTGTTTCCAAACTGCTTTCATCATGTAGGATCTTGACTGCTCTTCCAAATTAATCTGCATGGGCTGAATGCAGAGGTAGCGTTTCTGTTTGAATCATATATAAGCAAATGGCTGAAGAGCTAATGTGTGACTTCACACACACTTGGCAGTACGTGTAGAGAAGATAAGGGGAACTTTGTGTTGCTCAAGGAGGTCTCGAGTCCCCCAGACAATATAGGCTGTTGCTATTGCTTTGTTTGCTCACAAGAACTAGATGGTTAGATCCTATTGCTGAAGACATGACATACTTTGGTGGCAGGACATAGAGAAATTGAGCTGGGACTGGCTACATTTTCTAGTACCAGAAGGTGTTATGCAGGCTGATGGAGGAGAGATCCCCTCAATAGTCTTAGCAAGTGAGGAAAGCTGGGGACCAGAGAGGTGGCCTTCTCTGGGGAAGAGCACATCCGTTGGTTGCCCAGTGACACATGGTCAGCCCTGAAGACACACACATAAGTCACATTATCCAAACTGAACAGAGTTACTTAGGAATATATATGTATACACATATACACATATGCAAGCAGTAACAATGAATGAAAAAAGAGACCATGAATTTGAAGGAAAGTGGAGAGAAGTATGTGGGAGGCTGTGGAGGGACGAAAGGGTAGGGAGAAATGTTGTAACTGAATTATAATATCAAAAGTAAACAAAATAATAAAAAAGAATCCATTGTGGAGGGAGGAGGGGCTAATGAGGGAGGTCCCACCTTCTCTGAGGAAGGACTGGCCGTTAGTCTTGCTGGGGGAGGCAGGGCGATTTTCTTCAGTGATGGAGCCACTGATAATTTGCTGATATAACCTCCTACCCACGCTCATTCCAGAAACTCATTTCAATTCAATGAGTAGCGAATTCCCCCTCAAATCTGACAAACAATCAAAGAAATAGACGTTAAAGGGAGCATTGCTGAAGAGAAGGGAGTTGGGTGTGTATGGGAAGGGGTGAGGGAGAGCAGTGGGGGATGAAAAGGACATCATCATATCATGGGTGGCATTTTCAAAGAATGAAAACATTTGAAGCCTCCAAACCTAAAAGTAAAAAACAAAAAATCCACTAATGAGAGAGAGCGAGAGAGAGAGAGAGAGAGAGAGAGAGAGCGGGAGAGTGCGCCAACATCGGTAAGACCAGTCCCAGATACTCTGTGATTCCCGTGTGACTGCATTTTAATAATGTTTTATTCTATCTTATTTTTTGTCTTTTGTTATCATAGTGTGTGACACGCACCTTTACTATTTTTTTGTTTTTGTTTTTCTTGGCTCTGAAGCTTGTTTGACTAAAGAAATTTTGACTATCCAACTCACCACTTGTAGGTACATACATTTGCTTATTTTGAGACAAGGTTTTAGGCATCCTAGGCTGCTCTCCAACTCGCTATGTATCAGAAGATGACTTTGAACTCCAGACCTTCCTCTTGCCTCCGCCTCCTCAGTGCTGGGAT